AACAGGGGCATATGAAGCTGTTCCTATCCAAGGTTTCTCCAAGGACACATATCTGCCATCAACTATCACAGATAGTGGATGACATATCATTATCAACCCTTTATAGACTGTTATGGAGGGTTCACAGTTGGCGATCGTACGTGCATTAGGCGAGTAGGCGATAAGAGAAGGGTGTGTATTGGTGCTCCGCTTATTGGGCGATCGCCTAATCGCCTACTCGCCTAATTTACACGTGTATTTTCCATTTTAGACGAGTCGTCTAATCGCATCGCCCCATCGCACGTATGATCGCCAACTATAAACGCTCCACAAGCAAAAGCGGCTTTGTTTATGGAATTCATATGTATCAGTGGTGATGAGCGGTGAGTCTCATTTAACCACTCGTTGTCATTAGAGAACAGATGGGTGACGATGGGAAGTGAGTCCGGAATACTATCTTTATGACTGGGTTGCCAATCCCGTTGTTGATTTACCAAACTGGCAGGGGGTGGGAGGGGAAGGAATAGTGGGGAGCTGCAGGTACTCTGTCTGATTAGTTCACGGTACACAACGCAGTTACGGGAGTACACCGGAGCTATTGGAGCCTTGAGTTGCTGTTCGCCTTGGCTCCGCTCCGGTGCACTCCACTCACAGTTCAACTCTAAAAGCTCTGCCGCTAAATTCAGCCCTTTGGGAAGGTTTGAAGTCCGCTGGCGAGTTTCGTTGACAAACACTCCTAAACCAATTCGGAACCAAAACATGGAAACCTACAATGAATTCAGTTTGTGCTTTTGAACTTGAGTAAAGTAGAACCCCCTAGCGGAAGTGGTTTTCAGGGGCAGCGTGCCTCGCAAGGCAGAGGGTAGGAGAGAGGGAAGTTTTGGTTTCTGATCGGCCATGCCCTCTCACTGACCATGAGACAGTTGGCATGTGTGCGAAAAAAAAAACTGTCAGAGGGTTGAATAAGGATGAGAGTGCGAGTTGACGTGAATGGCAACTCGAACTTGTCCAATGTCACAGTGATCGCGGAGTCTCGGTGAGAAGGTGCAGATGAGCGCTATCGCAAGATACGGGGCATCAGGCAATGCATTTAGAACCGCGTAAGATATCTCTTTCTGTCAGAACCAGGGCTAGGCCAAAGGCGGGAGAGAAGAGACTCTGAGGTGCGTGAGCGATCTTCATTCCCAAAGTTTCTCCCCACTTCTAACCTCAGTCCTGAAGGATGCGCTCCTATCTTGCGATAGCGTCCGCAGGTGAGCAGAAAACTGCTGCTCAGCTCGGGCAAACTATGCCATTATCCTATGTACCTTCAGTAGGCGCAGCTTGTCAAATCAAGGCCACACGTCACGTAGTTTCAAAATTTTTACGACCCCATCCGGAGAGGGTCTTCCCACGGGATCCTCTCCAATGGTCTACGGGGCGCTATTGCAAGATACGGGGGCATCCTTCAGCCTCAGCTTGACAGGAGCAAAAACTTCGGGAAAAATAAAAATTCTTCACGTATTCTGGAATCTGTCCTCTCCCACACAAGGCTGAGTCCCGATTCTAACCAAAAGGAGATGGTTTACGAGGTTTTCAACATCCATAATGCTCCCGTATCTTGCCATAGCGCCGTCTGTGGTGTAAACAACGTCCCTGAACCTCTTGCTACCACCTGACACACTCCAATTCCGACCCCAAAGTCCCCCAAAGCGGTCGAGTGAGGAAGGGGAGTGGCTCTCCCACCTAAAAATCACAATTACAACCCAAACCCCCTTGTTGAGAAAATCCCAGCAGCAGTTGCCTGCCTCATCCTACCGTATCCTTGACGACTGGTTTTGCTTACCGTAAGCCGACAAACGAAGTAGTTTATATAGCACAGACCGAATGTTTGCAAGTATCGGCATGAAATGGTTTCCATCAATCAATATACAGAATTTCAGAAGACCAAAAACCAGCACACCGACGACAACGGCAACCGGAAGGTTTGTTTCGTGGTTAGAAAATGGTCAGAATTTGCTCTCGATTTAACTCACGGCTTTGGGGGGGCATTTAGAACTGGGCATTGAAAAGCGCTGGTAGGTGACATTAGGACTGAACCCGGGAGAAGGGAGGAACGCCGGGGAGAACAAAAATTGTTCACATCATCTCCAAGGATTCGTTTCCTCACCCTCCCCCTCCCCGTTCCCGTTTCCCTTTGTCCAAATACTGAAAGTGGCTCACTCACTCGAATGTCCCCCTCCCATTCCCCAGGTCGACGATCTGAGCGCCGCCCGTCCCATCAAATGGACGCATTGTAAAAATGGTTATCTATTTTGCGCGCGTGAAATCGATATTTCATTCTCGTTCCCTAAATAAGTTTTTGCAGTAAAAAGAGCGAATCATCTCGGCATCATGGTAATTGTGGCAGTAATGTGTTCCTTGCCATAGCGATACTGACTTTTTTACATAACTCTGCAAAAGCGATATTTTTTGCTTCTATAGAGGACCGTAAGTCTCCTACGACTAATCGATAAATTGATTTCTTGTTCTGCAACACAAACAAGTTCTTTATCGGTACCATTTCTATACCTAAAGTTGTAGTGGGTTGAACTATGAATGTTTTTCAGCCACGAATCTTCTAAAATTTCAAGCTGGTATGGAAATCGTATTTATAATAAGCATCTTTATTCTGAAAATACTTAGCGTAACCTATACCAAAAATACCCTCAGGGTAGCGTGTCTTCTCATGATGGTAAGCTTTCGAGGCTATAGCTGAGTGAGTGGGCGTGGCTACCGCTGATGGGCGTGGCTCCCCAAAGCGGGCGTGATTTGCACGATTCATGAAACTCATTTCAGATGTTTTATTTTTTCATTGGCTGCTTGGCGTTTGTGATATGGTATTCTGCATATTGTACGTGCTTTAAAGTCAGCTGCTATGAATTTTACCTCAATTTTTTCATGAACCTTTTCAGATAACGACGTGAAGAGCATTCAAGTGGCAGCGATTCTCGGCGCATGTATGGACATTGTCGTCTATTTGTTATATTTACGAATGAAACAAGTGAAAACGGAATAACTCATTAAGATACAGTCAAACTCACCCATTTACGATATACACCCAGAAAAATCAAAATTTAATAAAATTTATATTCAGCGTACTGTATCCTCTCTCTAATCTTAAAGGCACATTCCACGACTGAACAACTGTAGGTCATTGCGCTCGAAAATGAAAGTAACTCTGGTGATAGGTCCTCATCGATCAAAGATGAAGAAAAGAAGTGGTAAAAACCGGAGCTGGTTTGTTCAGAAGGAGGGGCATTGCTATCTGGAAATCGCAACAAACCGAGCGTTATCCCTTACTGCCTGCCCCCCCCCTTCACTAGGCAGGCATCGAAGGGACTCCAGAGAGGAAGATGTGTAAGCGATTCCCCCGATGTTCTACTTCTCCTAGGCTCAGTCCGCATAGCGATGCCCGCCTCCCGTTAAGCACACTAAAGCCCTAAAAACCTTGAGATTGTAGCGGACGCCCATCGTATGGGTGGGATTTGAGCTGGGCCCCTGCAGTAGTCATTGGTTGGTTCCTATCTACCGCATCCCATCACATCAGCGAGGAATTTGACATTTACAACTTCTGCAGGGGTGGGTCGCAAACCCCGCCCACACAACCAGTGCGCTATGTGATTTTGAGGGTTTAGCAGCTTTTGCACACGCTTGTATTACTAGTGGACTAATTACCACAGCCGAACTTTTCGAAAGCAATAACCCTACCCATTCAAACGCGGAATTCCCCTTCAAGCACTGGAGTGATCGGAATGGTTAGCGAACTTCAGGATGCGCCGCATACGTGATTCTTAATAAATGGAAGGGATCTTTGGGTGCATGCAATTCATATCGTTTCCCGCTTCATAGCCCGCTTGTTGGGTAACCTTAAATTGACACATGTCAAGGCACATCGAGTCAATCGATATCACACACTTCAGTACGCTTCAAGAAACCTACCAGATTTTGAAGATGACTGTAGGGAAATACTAGAAACTATTGTTATGAATATTATGCATTCCGTAGTAACTTATATGTAGAGAGAAGTCAAGTATTTCTCCTTCCATAATGAGTCTCACCTTTAGGTCACAACGCGGCGACGCGACACTCCTGCGCGGCGTTCATTTCGAGCGACACCCCTGTTCATTGCATTTGTCCAAATCTATGCGTGCATTAGGTTCGCATTCCCACAATGAGCCACGAATCGATTGCCGCGCAATTGTTTGGCGAGCGGTACGCGAAAAATGTGCGCATTGCCGCATCGTGACCTATCGACACACATTTTTCTAAAACCACATACCAGCAAGTTATCAGACAAACACACATAATATAGTTATAGCTATGTGTACCCCATGGTAAATGCGAATTTCATTGAACATGAGAACGAATCTTTATCGGTAATCGATAATGCACAAAATCGACGACATGAGCGAAAATATACGGGACTATATTTACCCTATCGATTAATTTTGATGATATGCAACCTTTACAATATATTCAATCAATAACTCTCCTCCTCTTCGAAGTACGTAACACTCATTGGACACAGGCGAGCAAAGTGATCATCGCCCTGAATCATCGAGAAGTCAGCAATGAGCAGACGACACGAAGGGGATCTCACAAACTCCGCCCATTGCAGGGGCAGAGACGCAGACACGCGTACTCTTTGTGTCTGCACTCTGCCTCCGTGGACGGATTTTGTTGAAATGACAATTGAACGAGGGTGAAAAGTGAAAAATGCAACGAACCGAACATAAAAAAGTGACTTGACTACTTAACTGAACCATTCCGCGTTGAGCACGACAATGACAAACGAAACAGAAAAAATAGATATCGATCGAACACATTTCGTTAAATGGCGACTTCATGACGACAATACACACTCATATCGTATGAGAAAAACGAACTTAATAGCACTGAGAAGTTCTTGAACACAAAACCAATCGATTCGTATGTTAGCAACAAACACTTCCACTACAGATCTAATCTTTAATCCAATCATTCGACATAATTCTATCGCTGTTACTGTATCAATCTCGAAATGCGCCCCAACGCCAAAGCCTGCGCCAATGACAACGACTAAGATCCCACATCGGAATACGACAGGTGGGAGGAGGGCGATGGACTATGGGTCCTTACAAGGGAAACTAACCATTCCCCACTGACTGATTTATTGGACACGATAGGGTAACGGAGGTCAAACCAGGGTCAAATTGGAACAATCGGATATTTTAGGGTACTTTTTTGTCAGAGAGCATTTTAGCGCTCCTCGGGTACCACGGGTAGAGAGCAATGAAAGGGAGCAAAAAGGAAGTAGGTCACGTAAAACATTTCAAGTGGAAAAACTGAATGACAACGACGTCCCAGTAGGTAGATCCCTAACCCCCTGTGAC